GGCCGGTTCACTCACTGGCTGAGCGTGGTGCTGACAACACCAAGTCAAGGGTTAAGATGCCCTTACCGGTCATCTTTAAAAAAAAAAAAAAAATAGAGAGTATCTTTTAGTCGTTTTCCTGTTAGAGAAAATGAATAATTATCTGTAACTCCATTATCCTAACACAATTATTTTTATATATATACCAGTTGAAACAAGTGTATTTAACACTTTTTTGTTTTATTTCATTTAACAAATAACTTTTTATGTTTTATTAATAACAATAAAATAATAATTTTATGAATAATTCTTAGTTTAGCAGCTGCTAATACTCCATCATTTTGAAAAGCTAACCATTTTTTCATTTAACCATTTTTCTAACTTTAGGTTATATATAATCTATTCAGAAATAATTCTTAGGAGTAGCATTAGTGAAACAAGAGAGTGTAAGTGTCTTTATGGTGCTTGCTGTATAATTCACTTTTTTTCTTTTTTTTGGTGACTGGCCAGTACAGGGATCTGAACCCTTGACCTTGGTGTACAACATTGTGCTCTAACCTACTGAGCCAACTGGCCACTGGTTACTCACTTTGATTTTAGCTCAAATCACAGCTAGACATATGTAAGTGGTCCCAGTTTTATTGGTATAGTCTAGCTAGTCCTGTTGAGCATTCTGAAAAGATTAAGACATAGTTTCAGGATGAGTTTTGTTATTTGCAACCAACTGTAGGAATTTTATAACAAACTAATCATGCTAATTAAACTCTAGAAATCCAAAGTTCTCAGTATTGCATGTGTATTACTTTCTGTCTGTTTCCAAAAGGTTTTGAGTTGGTATTATTGAGTGTAGTTATTGTATACAAAATAATACTGGAATTATAGTTACTTACATTTTGTAAAACTGTCCTGATTGGAGTTTTTTCCAGTGATTATAATGTTACAGAAAATGAATAATTATTTGTGGTTGTGTGATCCTATCCCAACTGTTGTTACTTATATTACCTTACATATGTGTTAATGTTTTTATGTGTATAGTTAAAAGTTTATAGGCATAAAGTGGTATCTCAACTTGCTTTAATATGCATACCTTTAAGAAAGAAAGCAAGAGTGGTTTTTCTCTTTGTGCTTTCTTCAGTTGTTCTTACCTGAGGTTAAGCGTCGGGAGGCTTCTTTTAGAAGCTTGAATTAAGGGAGACCTAGGTTACTGAGTCCCCTCCACTTGCAAGTATGTCCTTTTTTCTTTCGTCCAAGTGTGGCCTTTTATGATCTCAGAAGAGTCGTCTCCTTCCATGATTCCATTCTGTCTCTTCAGTCACTGAGCACTCAGTCTTACAAAGGGCATAGTTCCAGTTAATTCACAGTTTATTTATGTTCCAGTTAGTTTACAGTTTATTTAATTATTTGTTTATTTAAATTGGGCAGAAATTTACCTGGTAGCGATCACCACCTACTACCGGTCTTAACTTCCTTAATGTTAAGTCTGTTCCTCTTTTAGGGGCAAACATTCTGTGTTGTCTTTTCTGTGAGCTACATATCTCTAGTTCCTTCAATTATTCTTTGTCTTTGTCTACTTTCTAGGCTTCCTGTAAATCATATGAAATCTTCTATAGATATACTGTTCTGGTGTTGTCTGTCTTAAAATGAGCACCCAGAATTAAATTTCCATCAGAGTATCCCTTTAATCTGTAGGAATTTTTCATTCATTCATTTTTTTTTTTTTTTTAGTTCTAATGGTTTTTATTTCAAATCAAGTTTGTATTTTAAAGACAATGGTATCTTTATAAAATGTTCACAAAGAATAAGATAAAACTTAAGAATAATTCTGAAAAGCGAGAATTAGTGTGTGCTTGAAGGAGTTTGTGTATCCTCTGTCGAGCACAGTGTCTCTGCCACCTGTGTGTCCCAAGTCCTCTGGAAACCTGAGAGTCAGCAATAATTGGGATGTAGCAGGGAGAGCCTGGCCCTCCCTGCCAGTGCCTTTTGATGAGCAGAAGTTTCTGATTTTAGTGAAGTCCTATTGATCAGCTTTTTTCATGTGGATTTCATTGTCTTGAGCGCTATTTGCTGAAAAGGCTCTTCACTTCCTTTGGATTGCTTTGGAGGCTTTGGAAAATGATGTGATTGTATAAGTGGGGGTCTGTTTCTTGGTGCTGTGTTTGGTTCTTTTTGTCTATTGGTTGGTCCTTATGCCAGCACCATGCTGACCTGATTACCGGAGCCTCCTGCACATGATTCTGCCCCAGAATCTGATGAATGAATCTGATCCCAGGTTCACTGACTCTTCTGCATTTCCACACACCGTTAAGCGTCTCCAATGAACTTCTTATTTCACAGGTTGCATCTTTTAGTTCTAGAGTCTCTATTTCTCTCTCTTTTTTAGTAGTTTTTGTTTTTCTGTCAGGATTTCCTCTCCTTGTCACACTGTATTTTTCTTCATGGCTTAGGCACACATATTGAAGCCACTCTGAGCTCCTTGTCTGCTAGTTCAGGCACGTGGGTCATCTTGAGGGTGTGTCCATTTAGTTTTGAGTATAGCACATGTTTTCCATGTTTATTTTTATTTTGGAGTAATTTTGAACTGGAATTTTTTTTTGAGGGGGGGGTGACTGGCCAGTCTGGAGATTCAAATCCTTGAACTTGGTGTTGAGAGCACCACGCTCTGAGTGAGCTAATTGGCCAGCCCTGAATTGAACTTTGGATACTGGTGAAGTATATAGAACCCATGAGTCATGTTATGTTCTTCTGAACAGTGTGGATTGTTTTGCTTCCACACTTAGAATTGAAACTGCAAACTGCCTCCTCTGTGGTAGGTGACACCTGCAGTCTCAGATTAGTGTTTGGCCTTTGCATGGAGTCCGTGTGGGCATGTGTGGCTTAGGAGCTGTCTCCAGCTCTCACTCCTGCTGTTCTTCAGGCCACTGAGACTTGATGTGTCTGGGTTGGAGCTCTTCTGCGAGCACAGACTGGAGTTGCTCTGGTGCCAAATGCCTGAAACTGTAACCTTGTCATCACCTTCCTGTGCCACCTGCCTACGTTGTCATATTTTCATAGTTTATCTGTAGTTTATGGCTGTCTGGAATATGTTCAGCCCAGTAGGAAGTATGTGGCCATTAGTAGATTTAGAACCCTTTTTCAGTCTTTTATTAAAAAGTAACTCTTTTGATTATATAAGTGATAACATATATTGTCTCTTCAAATTATTCTTTTCTTTCCTTCCTCCCTCCTTGGGTCCATTTTTCTGTCGCCTTCTCTATTCTTTCCTACCCGCATCATTGTTAAATGTAAATGGGAGTGCTGTCATGCTAAATGTATTGTTGTTTATTTTTCCTTTTAATAATTCTTACTAAGCCTTTCCCTATGAGAGTAAATCTGCAGTGTGGTTAGCATAGCCATGTACTGTCTCTTTCTACGGCTGCAGGGCAGTTGGTTCAAATAGTCCCCTCTCATTGAACTTTTTTAGGCATCTGTAGCTTTTGCATTTAAAATGCCTCACTAAGTAGAATGTTTATAACTTAATCATTTAAAGACTAATTTAGCAACTAGCAATTGTTAAGAAGCACCATCCTTAGCACTTACTATAATTGCAAGGATGGTGCCCAGATGAAAAAGGGTTAGGGACAAGTCTGTATTGACCAAGACCTGGCTAGTTTCTGTTTTTGTAAAATAACATGCCAGGAGCTTTTCATGTAAACTTGTTTTTTTTTTTTTTTTTTTTAAGATTTAATTTTTTTAGAGCAGTTTTAGGTTCACAGCAGGATTGAGAGGAATATACAGAGATTTCCCATATCCCCCTGGCTCCACACATGTACCGCCTCCCCCATTGTCAGCATACCCCACTAGATGGCTTATTTGTTACACTTGATGAACCCACATTGACACTTCGTTATCACCCAGCGTCCACAGTTTACATCGGGGTTCACTCTTGATGTTGTACGTTGTGTGGATTTTTACAGATGTCTAATGACATGTATCTACCATTATAGCATCGAATGAAATAGTTTCACTGCCCTAAAAATCCTGTGAACGCTGCCTAATCATCCTTCCTTCCCACCCTCCCTCCCATCCAACCCTTATCCACCTCTGATCTATGTACTGTCTCCATAGTTTTGCCTTTTCCAGAATGTCCTTGAGTTGGAATCATACAATATATAGCTTTTTTAGACTAGCTTCTTTTATTTTATTTAAACATTTAAAATAACTTATATGTATGTTTATATATATGTGTATATTTCACATATCTATATATCAGATAGGGTTCTAAGTGTAAAAATATAATTTTTTTTTTTTGTCTTTTTTCCATGTCCGGCAACGGATCGCAACCCTCAGTGTTGCCCCCGTACCGGACCGGGGACCGGCAACGGGATCACAAGCCTCGGTGTTGCTCCCGCGCCTCGCTCAGCCAGTGAGCGGGAGCCGGTCTGTATGTGGGATCCGAACCCTCGGATGGGAGCGCCGCCGCGCTTCCCAAGCGGCGCACTATCCAGTGCGCCACCGGGCCGGCCCTAAAAATATAATTTTGAAGATCCAAGTTAATTGGATTGTTATTAACTGGGGCTTTAGTGTCATTTTCTAGTCAGAAGGCAACACCATTCTTTTCTTGCTCAGGCTTTGGATATGGGGTGGTGCCAGGCAGTGTGGCTGACTAGTTGGTCTAAGCTGTAGTCTCAGAATTGAAACTCCTGTTTCCCAGAACCTGCCCTTGTGTTGTTATTTTGTATGCAAAGCCACTTAGTTACTGAATGACATAGATTTGTATCAATTTGAAATTCCATTTAAAACCAGGGATATATACCTTTTAGAAGTCTTTTTTTCCTCCAGAGGTAAGTTAGAAATTTAAAGTATTTATTATACATAAATATACATTATATATATATTTAAAGACATTGGGTAGATAACATTTCTCTTATTAAAAAGGAATGAGGTCAATGTTTGGGACAATTATGATAGTTTTAGTTTATGTTCATTCTTATAATGACCTTCAGTGATTAAAATCTCATTGTTTTCATTTTTTTTTTTTTTAGCAGCAAGCCCTTGCAGGAAGCCTGGTGGCAGGGGCAGGAAGTACGATTGAGGCAGACCCATTTAAGAGGCAGCAGGCAGTACCAACTACAGGTATGTTACCAGCATAGGCTGAAGGGCCTCAGGAGGAGTTTGTTTCCTAACAGGGCTGTTGCGGTGGACTTGCCATGTGTTTCTAAAGAGTGAATGCTAGAGAACTTAGTTTCCTTCTACTTTGAAAATTAATTTTTCTTTTGGTGATTATCAACTGAACAAAATATTTATGTGAATGTATATTCAGAAGTTATAAATTTTTCAATTGAACTGGGGTTCCATTTTGATTTTCTGTGTGCATTTGTAGGCTCTTTAGTGATTATGATATGATTAAATGTAAAATCATCTCCTTTTTTTGCAGTTGGCATTTTTTTTGACGTTGTCTTTTTTAAAACTAATTTTTGGGCTGGCCCATGGCTCACTTGGGAGAGTGCAGTGCTGGTAACACCAAGGCCATGGTTCGGATCCCTATATAGGGATGGCCAGTTAGCTCACTTCGGAGAGCGTGGTGCTGACAACACCAAGTCAAGGGTTAAGATCCCCTTACTGGTCATCTTTTCAAATAAATAAATTAATTAATTAAATAAACAAACAAACAAACAAACAAATAAATAAATAAACTTTTTTCTTCAAATTGTACATTTAATAATACATTTTTATGTAAAAGATTCAGATGGTTCAGAAGGGTGTAATTTAAGTCTTCTTCTGGTTTGGTATCTGCCTACACCCTAGCTGCTGTTAATGTTTTGTGTATTCTCAACAAGTGCTGTTACATTTGTTTTGAAAAAAATTCAAATGTGGGCCGGCCCATGGCTCACTTGGGAGAGCATGGTGCTGATTACACCAAGGCCATGGGTTCAGATCCTATATAGGGATGGCTGGTTCGCTCCCCGGCTGAGCGTGGTACTGACAACACCAAGTCAAGGGTTAAGATCCCCTTACCGGTCATCTTTAAAAAAAAAAAAAAAAAATTCAAATGCGATTATATCTACACTGTTACATCTTGTTAAAAATATTAACTAATAGGCCATCTTTCCAAGTCAAATACCTCATTCTTTTTCATGGCTGCATAGCATTCCATCAACTGGATGATTGATTCTTTATCAATCAAATCCTTATTAATGTTCATTTGTTATCACCACTTTTTTTCTGTTACAATGCAGAGAGCATTGAATGTCTAGTCTCATGTATTTCTTCTATGTTTGTTAACATATCTAAAGGAAAAACTCCTAGAAATGAAATTGCCAGATCAAAGTGTATGTGCGATTAGGAATTGATGGTGCTAAATTGCTACCCCAAAGGACAAAGCCAGTTTTCACTACCAACAACCATTTCTGGTTCTCTCACATCTTGGCCCTTTATTAAGTATGATAAATCTCTTAATCTTTGTTGATCTGATAGGTGAAAAGTTATCTTTTGTTTTGATGTGGATTTCTTTAATTTTGAGTAAGGTCTCACAATATCTTTTCATGTTTGTTATCCATTTGTGAATCTGCTCCTCTGCTAGCTGTTCATGTTCTTTACCCATTTTGTGTCTCAGGTTGTTGATACCTTTCATATTCATTTGTAAGCACTTTCCGAATGTTGAATAAATCAGCCTCTGTTTGTCATGTGATATCTCTCAGATTGTTTCTTGTCCTTTGCCTTTTTGTAGTCCTTTTTCATGGGTAATATTGGCAATTTTTTAATGAAAAGAAATTAAATTTATTAACCTTATGTCCTTTATGGTTTCTGGATTTTGGTTCATGCATAAAAAGGCTTCCCTGTTCAAGGATTATAAAAACACTTACACATGTTTTTCTACTACTTTTGTGGTTTTATTTTTACATCAAACTGCACCTTTTTTGAAAATTATTCTAGAGCAGTCTAAGAGACCTCGACTTGAAGTGGGTCATCAAGGGGTAGTTTTCCAGCCTCCAGGGGTGAATACAGGAGTTCCTCTTCAGCAGTTAATGCCGACGGCACAAGGTAAGACCTAGCAGAACTAGTTCATTTAGCTCATAAAAGGGGAGTGTGTAGAGATCTTAGAAAACTAATATCAAACTAAAACTGGTGTAGTCGAGGTAGTATATTTGTAGTGGAGTTTCTGAAATTGGGATGTTTCTCTGAGTCCTATAAGGACAGTATGAAAAACCCCTGGAGACACGTTCTTGTATGGGATCCACACATTGCCATGTGATTGTGCTTTTCAACAGTTTTTCCTCCTGTGTTTTTCTTAATTGCTGCTCTCGTAGGGGTACCCTGTGGTTATTTGGTCCTTGTTTTGCTTGATGCTAACTTGCAGAGGTCAGGCACCTTTCTTTCCTTCTTTATGTGCTCATTTGTGACGTTAGAGCTAGCAGAACACTGATTTCCCGTGTGAGCATGTGGTGGTTTTCAAATGACGGGTTCTTAGTGAGCCTCGGGATGTAAAACGTGTTTTCTTGTGACTCACTTGGGGAGAAACTGCCACACTCTGAAATCAGTGCTGTGGGGGTTTTTCTTATTTTGCAGGAGGAATGCCCCCCACCCCTCAGGCTGCGCAGCTCCCTGGACAGAAGCAGACTCAGCAGCAGTACGACCCCTCCATGGGGCCCCCCGTGCAGAATGCCGCCAGCCTGCACACCCCACCGCCGCAGCTGCCTGGGAGGCTGCCCCCGGCCAGTGTCCCTGCTGCAGCCCTCCCCTCCACGCTGCAGTTTGCTCAGCAGCCGCAGGTGGTAGAAGCTCAGACACAGCTCCAGATCCCAGGGAAGACTCAGCAGCCAAACATCCCCACCCCTGCCCCCCAACCGAGCCAGCTCCCCGTTCCTCCTCCACAGCCTGCACAGTCAGCCCTCCACACCCCGATGCCCGGAAAGGCACAGGTGCAGGCCTCTCAGCTTTCCTCCCAGCCGCAGGTACTCTGTGGACTTTTGTTGTTTTGTTGAATATAGAAAAAAACAAAAAGTGGTTTGCAGAATTGGCTTGCCATCTGTGTATTTGATAAGGTGCTATACTACACTATAATTTGTACATTTTCTCTTAGCAGTGTACTCTCCCACTTTAGAACAATTAGTTAATTCAGTAGTTGTAACATAAGTTTATTTGGCTCTGTAATAATAGTTCTCATTATTAAAATAATAGAAAACTATTATGGTTGCTGTTAGAATGAGGAGCCTCCACGTATTGATTCACACTCTGTGCAAAGGGCATTGGGTATCTTAACCCATTTGATCTGCCCGGTAACTCTCAACTAGTTGGTGGTGACCGATTTTGTAAATGTGGAGACAAAGGCTAAGAGATTATGGGACTGGCCCCAGGTTACAAGACAGTGAAGCCAGGGCTTGACCCTTGCTCTGTCTAAATGCAAAACCATGCTTGTAACCATCTACCAGATTCTCCGTGCTGCCTTCTTTTCTTTCTTTTTTTTAAAAGATATTGTATAATCCACAAATGCATGTAAGGCATTACTCGTCAGGCTTGATGCACATTTCAAGTATTTAAAATGCCCCTCGTCCTCCAGTGATTAATTTTACCCAGATGCATTTTTGGAATAGATGCAGTAAAATGGTTTTAGTTCCTAAAGTGAAATACTGAAGCCTGGGCACGAACCTGGTGTAGAGCACTGAGGGGGATGGCAGGAAGGGCTTTCAGAGAATTATCTTGGTTTTTAGTTTTTGATTCATGTCAGTGTCTGGTAGAGCCTGATGAAAATCTCCCTTTCCTCCTACCCTCTCCCTCACTAACAAGGGATTTCCAAGGTGGGCTGTATGTTCAAGTTTTGTATGATTGAGATTTATGGCAAAGTCTGCAATATATGATATAATAGTAGTAGTAGTAGTAGTAGTAGTAGTAGTAGTAGTAGTAGTAGTAGTAGTAGTAGTAGTAGTAGTAGTAGTTACTCCTTATTCGTCACCTGTGAGGGGAGGTGTCAGGAACTGTGATAAGGCTTCCATTGGCACTCTTTTCTCTATCAAGCAACCTTAGGAAGTAGAATCCTTATCATCCTCTTTTTACAGATGGAAAAAATGATACCAGAAAGGCTAAATGACTTGGCAAGATCACAGAGCAGGAGGTGGGGAGCTATGATTGGCAGGCAGGCAATACCAGAGCCCTCGCATGGGCACTTGCAGAAGCCTCACCAGCACTTGCAGTGCCTCTGCTGGGCAGCTGAGCTCCTCTAGGCTTGGCTGTCTTTAGGTTTTCATGGAAACAATTCTTTACACTTTGAACACTTTCTCTCATTGAGCCATGGACCAATTTAAAGCAGTTCTGTAGTTTGTCTTACGTTAATTTACTGCCTGTGTTGTTGCAGGGATCAGCTGTGGAAAGTAATTTTAAAGAAGTTTTTCATGAGGTCTGTTGGAACCTCTTGATCTAGGTTGGGCCGGCGTAGATAGACTTTCCCCGTGTAGAGCTGGGTGTGTATGTGCCGGCCTTGCAGGCAGTTACATTTCTGTTGCAGTCGCTCAGCTCTGCTGCTGAAGTGAAACTGCAGCCATAGGACACAAGTGGGTGCATGGGTGTGGAGTGTGCCACTCTGACACTTTAGTTTCAGGAGTAGGTGATTGGCTGAGGTTTCCCACCCCCTGAGGTGGGGGGCAGTTATTTTCGATACAAAGAAAGAAACCCCATGCCATAGAGGCAGTTCCTTGGCTATTGAGAGAGTGTTTTTGTCAATGTCTCCTGTACCCTTTAGGTTATAATAAATGTGCTCATTGGCCAGTTTGTGTTTTAGCCCCTTACTGTCATCGAGCCTGCCCTGCTATCTGCTCCCACCTCCTCTCCGTCCTCACCTCCTCCCCAAAAGTCTAGTTTTTAGTCAGGGTGGTAGGAGATTCCTTTAGTTTAACCAGCTTCGCTCCCTGGAAAGCACAGATGAGGATTTTTAACCTTTATAGCTGCCTGTCATGAGAGAGGCATGTGGAATTTGTATGTGCTTTTCAGAGAGAGGTGTAAGATGAGCAATGCGTATTTTTCAATTAGGAAAAAACTTACACAATTAAAAAAAATTTTTAATTATTTAAAAAAAATAGAGGAGAAAAAGTAGAAAAAAAAGCTTACGTGAGCTTTAAAGACATTATGCAAAGGCACGGTTTATAACAAGAGCTTTTATTTGGTTTTGTGGAAGTAAAACGATTTATTTTTTGTAGACATAGTGTATGTAGTATATGGTTTTTTGTTGTGATTTTTGGAGGTAATTCATTTCGTTCCCATATATTGCTGTGGGGAGGAAGGTAGGTTGCACTTGTCTCTGGGGTGAGTGCCTCAGTGTTTGGGCACTGCGGACCATCCTGAAGTCTTGACCCTTCTTTGCTGTCCTCTGCCCACTAGGCGGTGTCATCTGCAAGGCCATCCGTGGACACTTCCCAATCCTGTCCGCGGTCTCTGCCCACTTCCTCTTCTACCTCGTCCCTTGCACCTGTGAGTGGCTCAGGCCCGGGACCCTTGCCTGCACGGTCCTCACCAGTAAGCAGACCCTCCTCAGCAGCCCACAAGGCACTGTCTCCGGTCACTTCCCGGTCTCCAGGGGTGGTGGTATCGGCTCCCCTCAAGCCACAGAGCCCCGCTCAGAATGCCGCTGCATCCCAAGACAGTTCTCAGGATAAGCTGGCGGAACAGATAACACTGGTAAGCGTTCTTAAGGAAATTGTAAAATGTATTCTGATTTCTGAAGTGAAGTGCATTTGATTTTAATTTTTAAGGATGTGATAGTTTAAAACTGAACATCTGATGGTAAGGTCAATCTGACATGGTTTGTGATCAGTAGAAACAGGATGTAAAACCAGGTGGTTTATTTAACCTTTTCTCACAGAAGCAGACTCGTGGAGAAAGTCTTTTTTTCTTGTGATAAAGTCATCAGTCTTGGGCTGCTTTCATAGCAGACCACAGATTATGCATAGGAAAGGCAGGGGTATATAGTGGTCGGCAGGGAGTGTCAGAGTGGCGGCTGGGACTGTCATGGCCTTGCCCTCGAGGGTCACTGCCCAGCTGTTAGCACTTAATTTTTGCTGGATGACTAAACATTTATTTTGTTCAACTTCATTAAAAGAATTAAAGGAAATATACCAAAATAGATAAAATGTCACAAAGCCAGTGTTCCCCATTATCCAGTTTTAACAGGGCAATCAATATGTTGCGAGACTTATTTCATCTATTCCTCCCTCTTCTGATCATTTTGAAGCAGATTCCAGGCATCATGTTGTTTCCCTTGTAAATGCTTTGCTGTAAACATTGGGTCTTTGAGCTTGTTCTCTTCTTTAGAGATGGGGCAGGACTGTTGCTGGGGCCTCTTCTGAGTCACGGGCTTATCCTGCTGCACTCTCTGAGAGCCACTAGTCATTGTGTCCATGTCTTATCTTTGTCATTTAACCCTGATCCTTGAAGGCTCTCTCCTTTCAGTACCTAACTGAGCCTTTCCCATAAGAGGGTTTCAAATGTTTGGGGTCTGAATTAGCAGAATTCACTTAAATGATCGCATGTTGACCCCCCGCTTTCCCCATACACCCTTGCAGGAAAACCAGATCCATCAGCGAATAGCAGATTTAAGGAAAGAAGGTCTGTGGTCCCTAAGGCGGCTGCCGAAGCTGCAGGAGGCACCGCGCCCCAAATCTCACTGGGACTATCTGCTGGAGGAGATGCAGTGGATGGCCACAGACTTCGCCCAGGAGAGGAGGTGGAAGTTGGCTGCTGCCAAGAAGGTAGGCTTGAAATGCAGGTAACCACTGTTCTGTGTCCATTGGTGGAGGTTGGAATTTGAAGTGCTACAAATGGTGGCTGGGCCTTCTGGACTAACTTGCTGAAGGCTTTTTCTGTTGTTTGGAGAGTAGTATTGTGTAATTCATTGCTGAGGCAGTGTATTCGGAGTACCAGTGTGGGCTGTTAAGGAGCAAGAACGTCCTCCTCTGCTGCCATTCTGGCGCAGAATTTAGGTTCCTTTTTGTGCCATCTTACCTGGCACTTGGAAGTAGGATGCCTTTAGTGCTCCACATCCAGGTGGTGTCCAGGCTGATCAGGGAGCTGAGGAGCTGAGTGTTAGAAGGGACAGGATCGGTTGACAATGTAGGCGAGATGTCATCCTGGCTTCATGCCTGCCTGCCGCCCTCCTGATCGTCCCTGCCTGGGCTTCTGGTCTAGCTTTCTCTTGAGTAATGGTTGAGAATTTATTTCCTTCTGAGTGTTCACAAAGCAGGAACTCAGTCCTTGGAGACTCTCTGGAGGTGCTAGTGCTGATCTTAGAAAAGTGGAAACAAGTGACAGATTTCTAGAAGGCTTAGGCCCAGAGGGGGAAGCAGCTGTCCTTTCATTGTGTGAGTAGCTGCAGGCCCTGCTCTTCTCCCTGTGTCTCTGTGCCACAGTCTGTATTTCTAGGGCATGGACTCTTTCTTTATATTTCCTATGCTGTTAAGGTTGGGGGTTGATTGTTTGTCCCCTGTCCTGTCCACTCCCTTCCCTGAGTTCTCCTCCTCACTTTCCTTATTTGGGTTAGGTAGAGAAAAGCTGAGACCACATGGGGGGGCAGTGGGCTTCTGAGTAGAAAGAGTCTTAGGTCAGATAGTTGGGTATTTCAAGAAAAAGCCCACATTGTTCATTAAGCACTTCCTTGTTTACAAAGGAAGATGGTCCTGGACATGTGGACACCAGGATGGATAGGGCAGGGGTGGTAGACGGTGGATAGAAAGGAGCTGGTGGGATTGGGGCTAGAGCGGTGCAGAACCTAGGACGTGGGTGGGGCCTGCTCTGACTGCATGAGTGATGCCTGGTGGTAGGACCTGCATCATGCTTCCCTCCTGTCGCTGGGATAGACAGGAGAGACTGCATGGGTGGCTGACCCCTGATTAGGGCTTGTGTTGACCAGGATGAGGTCCACAAGAGGATTATTGGGAGCAATAATAAGTCTCTGTGCAGTTGAATGCGTTGTGACTCCTAGAATGCAGTGGGGGTGACAGTTGTTGCATGCCCAGTGCTCTGGATATGTTCCCATTTTAATTTACTTCTCACCACTGTTTTGAGGTACTGCTGGTCGGAACGTAAAGAGTATAAACTTCTGGAAAGCAGTTTGGTGATTTAAAGCAAAAGCCTTAAAATTGTAAATTATCCCAACCCAGCAATTTTCATACCTAAGAATTAAATAAATTTTGCTGCATTCATGCTGTGGAATACTGTACAGTCCACTAAAAATGATGTTGATTTACATTTATCAAGTGGGAAGATGTTAATCATACATTAGAAGGGGAAAGAAGATTGTAATATAGTATAGTGTTCCATTTTTGAGAAAAATATGTATTTAGTAAAATAACACTTTCTCGAAAAGTTGTGAGCAAACTGGTGATGGTTTTTGCTCATTTCAGCATTTCTCCTAGTGCGTCTTAAAGGCTGTGAAGACATATCTGACATAAATTATGTGTAATTTTAGGCTGAAGAGGTTTTCAAAAACTTTATGTATCCTTTTTTCTTTTCTTTTCTTTTTTTTTTTCCTTTTTCCTTTTTGTCTTTTTTCGTGTCCGGCAACGGATTGCAACCCTCAGTGTCGCGCCCGTACCGGACCGGGACCGGCAACAGGATCGCAACCCTCGGTGTTGCTCCCACACCTCGCTCAGCCAGTGAGCGGGAACCGGTCTGTATGTGGGATCCGAACCCTCGGCGGGAGCGCCACCACGCTCCCAAGCGGCGCACTGTAGCAGTGCGCCACCGGGCCGACCCTATGTATCCTTTTTTCTAGCACGATGCAGAGTACAACATAACATTCTTGAACTTTTTTTTCTAGCTCGTCAGAACTGTGGCACGCCACCATGAAGAAAAGAAGCTCCGTGAAGAACGAGGAAGAAGGGAGGAACAGAACAGATTGAGACGTATAGCTGCCTCCACAGCCCGAGAAATAGAGTATTTTTGGTCAAATATTGAACAGGTAAACTCTGAAATTTTAATGGGGTCATAAGAATCAGACTGTCTGCGAGCTGGCGAGGCTGCCTGTCCAAGGGAGGAGGTGGCGCATCCCATCCTTCAAGGAGGACCTTGAGTCCTGCTGGCACCCTTCTGGGATGTTGGCTTAGTAGAGAGTTTTGGACAAGCCTGTCCTTGCCTCTGTTTGTCTTTGTACCTGAAATACACAGTCAGCTGTGACCCACATGCTTTGAGGTATATGAAAGCCACAGTGAGGGCCCTTAAGATAGTTCTTTTTAGTATTTGTGCAAGTCCCTAAAGGCAGCTTACTTCCAGAATGGCTGCTTACTCTCTCTTCTTTTGTTAAATTTTCATCTCACCACCTGTAGAATTTGGGTAGGATGTAGTTTGACAAAATAATGAAAAAGCGTCAAACTGAAGATTTCTTTCTGAAGTAATTTGCAATAAGGTTGGATGACTGTACTTTTAGACTGTTATCTCTGAGTTTTAATGTTTTTATATGCAGGACTTCTGTAATTTACATCCTTGATAACTTGCTTATTTAACTCCTTGTATTTAGGTTGTGGAAATAAAACTACAAGTAGAATTGGAAGAAAAAAGAAAAAAGGCCTTAAATTTACAGAAGGTGTCCAGGAAAGGTATGATACTTTAAGAAAAGCCTTGACATCTTCCAGATTGTGCACTGTTTAGTGTCTCTGCTCACCAGGCAGCTTCCTGGCATTGTGGTTCTTATGGAGCCAGCCCAGGGAGGCATGTGCTCACCAGCCATCTGGGACCATCTGGTGTGCCCATTTGTTATGTCACTCTTTGTGTAGCCATTGTAGTGTTATACAAGAGCACTTCAGGAAATTCATTGAAAAATGGAATTAACAGATAATGCAGTCTTTCCATGAACTTTCTGAAGATGCCTCATACTTCATTTCTTTTGAGATGTGCTGGTGTGAGGCAGCACCCCACAGTGATTGACCTTGGGTTGCTCACAGAACTGAGTTTCTGAGTCTGTACCCTGTGGTCAGCCTCTGCACAGTGAGGTGCTGGGCACACATGGTAGGGTTTCTTTGGGTGTCTGGCTGGTGCAGTGGCTCTGTGTCCCTCTGCCTTTAGCTGTTCCTGTGGTAGCTCCCCGTACCCATTGTTGGACACCATGGAACATGCCAGGCACCAGTGCAGGCGTTCACTGCCTCATTTGAGAATGTCCTCGGGAGTGGTGGGCATAATACCTCTCACGTTACTTATGAGGAAACTGAGGCTGAGAGGTGGCCACTGCTGAAAGTCACAGAACTGTAAGATGGTAAAAGTCACTGCCTTGGTTACTAGAGGCAAGGAGGCAGTGCTTGCGCTTCCCGTCCCTGCCCTGCAGAAGGCACTGGCAGTAGGGCACAGCTGGGACAGGAGGGCTGCCCTACTGAAGGTGAGCAGTATCTTTCCTTCACAGCTGTGGGGAAAACCAATCATGTTCCTCATCTCTTTAGGAAAAGAGTGGAGACCTAAGGGATTTGATGTGTTGCCAGAAAACCTTCTGGTAAGTTCAGGATTGTTATTGTGCTCTGTAAGAAAGAATGGAAGTGATGTGAGTGGAATGCAGTGCTCTGATGAAACAGCTGTTCGTTTTCATCCAGAGAATTTGTAGGTTATGAATATTATTCCCTTTCATTAGAAGATCAGTCTACTTTGAGAACAAACTGATATTTTATAGCTTTAGTCTCTCATGGGTGTTAATTTGGCAATTTGGGAAGATACAGCTAAATGGATGATTGCAGATTTACATCCTTGCTTCTCACCCACCTGAGGCTGAGGAGAGCCCAGCTGCTTGCCCCAGGGCTCCCCGCTTTCCTTAGGGTACATACCAAGTAGACGTTTCTGCCTTGGTTTCCCATTCTGTGTTTTTAGGTCTCATGTTTGTGATTTCTATTCTGTGTTTCAGGATTTAGGAATACCTGGAAGAAAGAGAAAAGCTAGCACATCTTTAACTGATGACGAAGGTCTGTCCCCTTCCCATTGCTGCTGTCTTTATGGCCTGCAGGGCTCTCATTGAAATCATATGTGGAGTGCTCACTCAGTGCTGCTGAACAACAGAGCTGGGATGACTTTGGTTTTGTTCTTACTGTTTTAAACCAGTTGGAAAGTTTGACCCTTGTATTTATTTGGATATCTTGGTGTATGGTGTGTTTTTTGGTGTCTCTGGAGGACTTGTGTTTTCTGCAGCAGTGTGGTGGTGTCTACTTTTGTGAAGTTTGGAAACTCACGTGCATCTTGGAGAGTACTGGGGTCACACGCTCAGATGGTGCAGGACCAAGTCCCTTCCTGTCCTCAGGTGGCCCTGGTGCTTCCGTTTGGGGACATGCCAGGTTGGAGTCAGGTGCAGCCTTGCTGCCTGTCACTCAAAGGGACGCAGACCCATGGTCGCCAGGCAGGGCTCTCAGGAGAGGCTCTTGTGACTTTTAGGTGTTGGCACCTTATTTAGATCAGAACATTTGACCACTGGGTGTGAGTGAGCTGGGGACAGCCCGTGGCCATCAGCTTATGACCAGTGCCCAAACCTATGTGGACTGTGGTAGAGAAGTCCTTAGGACTGAAGTCTGGTCTCAGGGACAGAGGAAGGGAGCAGGAATAGAGAGTGTGAGGAAGACTGACTGACAGTGTGGCAATTCTTGTCAGTGTCTGGCAAGGCCTGCAGTGTTGCTGGCAGTGCTTTGCTCAGCATCAGTGTGGGTTTATTAAGGGCTTGATTTGGCAGTTGATTAACTTTTCCAGATTTTGAAAGATTGATATTTTGGTATGTATTGATTCTTATTTGGAAGTTGGCAGGGAGAGTTTGGCCAGATTATTGGTATAGTGATTCTATTAGTTATGCTTCAGTTCTGCTGCGTATGACAGAAACAAAGTAACAGTGGCTCAGGAGAGCTGGGAGGCTGAGGGTATGTGGTCCAGCCTGTTGCAGAGTTTTGGTGGTGTTCTTAGGGTCCCCTGCTTCTGTCTGCCTGTTGTCCCGGTGCTGAATCTCCCCTTTACCTACTCTCCTGGGTCAGGTGATTCCTGCAGCTCCAGACACTCTCCTGAGGTGGCTGGTTCCTATAGCTTGAGCTACTCTTCTGAGGTGGGTGGATCTTACAGCTCCAGTTACTTTCCTGGGTCAGGTGGCTCCTGCAGCTTCAGCTACTCTCCTGTGTTAGGTGGCTCCTGCGGCTTTAGGTATTCTTTTGGGTAAATGTCTTCTGGAACTCTTGTTAGTGTTATTGAAGCTGGAGGAAGGGGCAAGTCAGAGGAGCAGAACGTCTCCAGCCCAGTTGCTGTGTTGCAGTATCCTCCTGGAAGGTCCTGAGCAGTGCTCTTGCCTACATATTACCGACCAGCTTGTTGCCATTGGGCTTCTGAGACCTTTGTCTCTGCAGGTAGCAGTGTACTTGGAGAAAAAGTAGAGCTGGTTACTGGGGAAGGATTGGAATGTAAATGCAACTTGCAGTCTTTACATACAGTGGTTTAAAATTATTTTCTTTGTAGGGGTGTGACTGATTAGGGGCATTTGATGGGAGATGAATTAGTTTGGGGAGATTGGAAAGGCTCAGTATACCTACTTTGCATAATGTGTATGGATAATATTGTCAGCTTAAACTTTGTCTTGAGAGAGATACTATCCCTTTCTTTTCTGACACTGTTGGAGTTATATTCTGTTTATCTCTGGGTGTTATAACTAACAGTAAGTTTCTAGCTTTAAGCTGTAAAGCTGTGCAGTCATGTCTCCTTCTCCCTCTTCGCCCCCTGAACACATGTTATCCAGTATAAGATTAGCCGTGATATTAACAAATAACATGCCAAACACAGAACAGTTCAGAGTTAAGACTGAAATGAGAGTCAGAAATGTGTTTATTCTGTGCTTGCTGTGTGGTAGGGTGCTGCTCCCTGAGGGCTAGTGCCAGGACCCAGGCAACATTTATCCTGTACTGTGGATAAATTTAACTCTTGACCTTTTAGGCAGTAAGAGAAACCCAGTAAAATATAGTAGGTGTGTGCATTTCTTGTCATCTGGAAAAGGGATCAATTCTTCATGAGGAACACATTTTCCCTGACTTAGACTCTAGTAGCCATTAGGTTTGTGTAAATTCACTTCTCCACTTTTATTGTTTTCTCACATTCTTAGGAGAAAATTTATATATTGAAACAGGCTTTTATTTGACTAGAGTTTAGTTAAGACCTAAAGATGTCTTGGTGTAACTTGGAAAAAAACAAATTAACCACCCCTGACTCCACTTTTTTTTCCTCCAAAGCTCTTGGCTCTGGCAACCAAGCGATCAGAGGGGCAGAGGGATTTCTAAGAGGAAGGGATGGCTTTTCCTGTCAGGTACTGCCAGGGTGTCAGGCACAGTCAGGACTCAAAGCATCTGGGTTCCAGGGACTTGTGTGGTTGGGTTTGGGTGCCTTGGCCACCTTAGTGAGTGGTGGGGTTTGTAGGGAAGAAATGAGTTTGTGGGCAGTAGGGAGAGGTGTTGGGTTGTTTGTGTGGGCGTTTTGTTTGTAAGAGAAGAGAGACAGGGACATTCATGAGTGTTGGTGGGCTGAGAGGGGACTGCTGCTGAGGGAGAGAAGGTGCCGTTGGCCTGGCCAGGCCCTGCGGTGGAGAGATAGATGGTCCATTAACGGAGGGAGTTTGCTGCTGGGATGCTGGTAGATTCTCTTCTGCCAAGATCCAAGACTTCTGTTGGGAGGAAGGCATGAAGTTTGGGGCTGGAGTCTGAGCAAAGCGGAGCTGGTTTGAGCTGGTGGCTGTGGAGGACAGGAGAAGAGCTGAAGAAAGCACTGGATGGGTGCTGGCCTGGCAAAGATGAGGTCATGGTGAACCCAGATAGCATGCTGTGGGTTTTTCTGCAGGGAGACTCAGCAGGAGATGGAAAGTTTAGCATATCTCCATGTATTGGACTGAATCAGGTCTGTTGTGTGTTGCAAAACCAGGGCTGTGATTCACAGGTGAAATGAAAGGGATGATAGGGTTCCCAGCTTTCTGCTTATTTAATAAACTGTCAGTTCCAAATTGAACCTGAGATATTAGAAAGCTCAGTTTTAATGTCTTTAATAGCTGTACAAAACAACTTTGAAGCCTTACAGTGTGTAATGAGCAACTGAAGCAGCTCCAGGCAAGTCTTGCAGCTCAGTGACATTTGCTCATAATTTCAGTGGAAGATGAAGAGGAGACCATTGAAGAGGAAGAAGCTCATGAGGGGGCTGTGGACCACCAGATGGAGCTTTCTAACTTAGCCAAAGAAGGTATGCTGTTGCCACCTTACTGAAGAATGCCTTTACGAAATGTCAGATAGGTACAAAACAACATTTACAAAATGTGTGTCAGATATAAATAATAACAAGATGTTGAGCCCTGGTGCCACCACATTGCCGTCCTGCTTGAGAAGAGCAGCGCCTGTGTCCCTTCCTGTTGTTTGCTGCCCTCTGTCCCAAGGTCATGCCCGTTCTGGATTTTGTTGATTACACCTTTGACTCTTTCCTCTGTCACCTACACGTCTCCCTGGCCATACTGTTCAGCTCACACGTGGAACAGCTTCATGTGGACGGAGTCACACTGGAGTGCTTGGGCTTGCTCTCCTCACGCTGCCACTGGGCTCCCGAGCTGCATCCATGTTGTTGTGTGTTGCTAAGTGCACTCATTTTCACTGTCCAACAGCATTCCGTGTGTAGATGTGTCATCGGTTATTTTTTGTGCTATTGGTGGACTTTGGGCTTGTTCTGTATTGTGCCTTTGTGGATGGTGCTGCTTTGAGTGTTCCCTGTTCCCAAGCATATGCACGTCTGTGTGTGCCAGAAGGTGGAGAGCAGGCTGGAGGGCGGCTCTGCTTCAAGAAATGATGCCGGCTTTGTTCCGCTTTGTTCTGTGGGGCTGCACTGAGCTCCACAACTCAGGGATGCTTGGTGCTGTCCTCCTTGAATGTTTGAAGTGGTGTCCCCTTGTGATTTCAGGTTGCATTTCTTTGGTAACTAACGAGGCAGAATATCTTTTCATGTGTTTCTTCTGTCTGTCTTTTGTCCACTTTGGTATTGGGTTTTCTTTTCCTTATCGACTCGTAGGTGTTTTTATGTATTCTGGACATGGATTCTTTGTCAGGTATGCGTTGCAGTGACCTCTTCCCAGTTTGTGGTGTATCTTTTCATTCTCTCTCTCTCTTTTTTTTTTTTTTTTCCTTTTTTGGTCTTTTTTCGTGACCGGCAACGGGATCGCAACCCTCAGTGTCGCGCCCTCACCGCGCTCAACCAGTGAGCGGACCGGTCTCTATATGGGATCCGAACCCTCGGCGGGAGCTCTGCCGCGCTCCCAAGCGCCGCACTCTACCGAGTGCGCCACCAGGCCGGCCCTCTTTTCCTTCTCTTTACGGTACCTTTTGATAAAAGGTGTTCTTGATTTTAGAGTAGTTGAATTTATCAATTTTGTTTTTAAAAAACCCTGTTACTTAAAGATCACAAGGATGTCCTCCTCTCTTGTCATCTAAAAACTTTTGTTTTTACTCTCATATTGATGTCTTTAATCCATCAAGAATTACTTTGGGGGGCCGACCCCGTGGCGCATTCGGGAGAGTGCGGCGCTGGGAGCGCAGCGATGCTCCCGTCGCGGGTTCGGATCCTATATAGGAATGGCCTGTGCGCTCGCTGGCTGAGCGCGGTGTGGGCGACACCACACCAAGGGTTGTGATCCCCTTACCGGTCACGAAAAAGACAAAAAAAAAAAGAATTACTTTGGTCTATAGTGTGAAATGAGAGTGCAATTTCTTTTTTTCCCAAAATATATAGCCAATCGTCCCAGCACCAGTTTGAAAAGCCTGTCTTTTCCCCACTGATTTCAATGTGAGCTCAGACATAAATCAAGTTTACTTATATGCATGGCTTACTCTGGGATCTTTGTTGTTTTATTGGCCAATTTGTACCAATTTCTGTAGTACTACCACACTATCTTAATTATTATAGTTTTATAATAATTTTTGATAGCTGATTAGGTAAATTACTCTATCTTGCTCTTTTTTGGGACGGTCCTCACCATTTTGGGACTATTTCAGATAGATGTTAGACTCAGTTTATCAGGTTTTACAGAAAAACCTGTTGGAAATTTTGATTAGAAATTAATTGCATTAATGAGAATTTGGTAAGAATTGCCATCTCTCTAAAGTTGAGTCTTTCCAATCTATGATCAAAATTCAGTTCTTCATTTACTTAGGTCTTAAATAGCTTTTTTTTTTTTTTTGTCTTTTGTCTTTTTTCCGTGTCCGGCAACGGATCGCAACCCTCAGTGTTGCCCCCGTACCGGACCGGGGACCGGCAACGGGATCGCAAGCCTCGGTGTTGCTCCCGCGCCTCGCTCAGCCAGTGAGCGGGAGCCGGTCTGTATGTGGGATCCGAACCCTCGGGCGGGAGCGCCGCCGCGCTTCCCAAGCGGCGCACTATCCAGTGCGCCACCGGGCCGGCCCCTTAAATAGCTTTTAATGAAATTTTATGACATGTATATCTTTTGTTAATTTCTAGGTGCTGTATATTTTTTGAAGTTGTATTAAATGGTTTATTTTTTAAAATTACATTTAAAATTTGTTTTTTGGTACATAGAAATGCAGTTGGTTTTATTTACTGATTTTGTGGCAACTTTGCTGAACTCTGAATTAATTATTATTATTATTTTGGTGGCACAGGGATCAGCACCACGCTCTAACCAACTGAGCTAACCAGCTAGCCCCAGCATTAATTCTGTGTATACCATCACTTTCTGAAGAATGACAGTTTTCCTTTATAATTCTTGTTCCCTTTATTACTTTTCCTTGCTGTATTATGCTGGGTAGGACTTTCAGTAAAATGTTGAATTAGAAGATGCTGATGGTGGGCAACTTTGGCTTGTGCTTGATTTGAAAGGGAACATTTTTAGTCAGAAAAGCAGTGTATTGTAGTGGCTGAGACATAAATGCTTGGTTCAGATCTACTGTTTGCCACCCACTAACCCATTGACATTGGTTGGGTTGTCTAAACTCTGTGACATTTTCCTTAGGTGTAGAAAGGGGACGATAGTTCCTACTTCACAGTGTTGTTCTGAGAATGTAGTGTGTGTAAGACTTGTCCTGGCAGTTACTGAGTGCTCTTTACTCCTGCTGTTGGGATGGTTATGATAATATTTTCAGTGTTTCACTGTTGGGCATGGTGTGAAGGTTTTCTTGTAGATATTTTTTATCATGTTAATGAAGCTCATGTCTATTCTTCAGTTAGCATTTCTGTCATAATTGGGTGTTGCATTTTTATCGGGTGCTTTTTCTTTTTTCTTTTTTTTTTTTTTAAAGATGACCGGTAAGGGGATCTCAACCCTTGGTTTGGTGTTGTCAGCTCCACGCTCAGCCAGTGAGCAAACCGGCCATCCCTATATAGGATCCGAACCCGTGGCCTTGGTGTTATCAGCACCGCACTCTACCAAGTGAGCCACGGGCTGGCCTATCGGGTGCTTTTTCTTACTGAGCCTTGGTTATGGTATTTTTGCTTTGAGTCAATTCCTGTGAATTACATTTACCAATGCTGTATTTGATTTGCTCAGATTTTGTTTATGCTCATGAGTGAGACCGGATGAGAATTTCCATTTATCATACTATCCATGGAGGTTTTAGCATTAAGGTTATCCTAATCTCATGCATTAAATTGAGGCGTATATTTTCATAGATGGTTGTAGGACAGCTCAGGATGTTTTTTCTTCGTAGCCAAGTTTGATAGTTACATTTTCTAAGAATTTTTTCATTTCATCTAAATTTTGTAATTAATTGGTGTACGTTTTCAATAATATCTCCTTACGCTGTTTCAGTCTTGGCTGTATTTGAACTTATGTTTCCTTTTCCCGATACTGCTTGTTTATGTCTTTGTTTTCTTGATTAGTCTTGCCATAAGGTTGTCAGTTTCATTCTTTGTACTGGGAGCCTGTATATTGCTTTCTGTTTTTATTTTCTGCTCTTAGTATTTCTTTCTTTCTTTCTTTTTTTTTTCTATACAGTTGTCTTAAGAAGTTGGATGACTAATCCATTAATTTTCAATAGCTCATTAATTTTCATTAGCTCATTAATATAAACATTCAGTACTAGCTGAATATCATGTTTTTATTTGAAATAAGTTTCAAATATTTTCTAATTTCCCCTATATGTTTTTTATTGACCCATGAGTATATAGAATAGTATGTTCCTTTATTTCCAAACAATACAGAAGTTTTGATATAAATTTTTATCATTATTCTGCGTAAGTTGTATTTTGATCAGAAAGTAGATTTCTATGATTCTCACTAATCTGAATTTTGTTGAGGCAGGTTTTGGATGGCCCAGTTCATAGACATTTCATCTGTACTTTAAAACACATACCTTCAGCAGTTCATGGTGCAGTTTTCTCTCTGTCCAGTTGCTAAAACTTGTTGATTGTGTTGCCCAGTTCTTCCGTATCCTCACTGTGAATTTTTGTCATCTTGGTCAGTTACTGAGAGAGGTATGTTAAAATTTCCCATCATGATAGTGGCACTTATTTCTCTATTTCTGTGAACTTTTATATATTTTGAGACTATGTTATATAGATTTATAATCGTTATGCTATTATTTATCATTTTTACTGTATTGTAGATAATTTTATCAGATCCATTTTCTATTTTATGAATTCTCATTTAAGTTGTTCCTAATGTGGTAACCCATCCATTGAGTTTAAATTTTAGTTACCGTTACCAGTTTGTTTATATTCTTTATGGTTTTAAAACTGCTTTGAATGTTAAAATTATCTCTTGCTCTTTATTCACATTTCCAGTTATCTCTTTTATTTCTTTGAATATAGTAAGTGTTTTATCGTTTGTGCCTGGTAATTCTGTATGTGGAGTTTTTGCAGGCCTATTCTGCTTGATGTGTGTGAAGCCTGGTTTTTGCTGAGGGTGCGTTTTTTTCCCTAGTGTCAATAAAAATTGATTTTTTGACAATTTATTGGAACTTTGTGACACTTCTGTTAGGCCTGACACTAAAGGAGTTTTCTCCAGAGAGGGTTTCTTTTAACTTCTGTCTGTGTTCTATTATTTAATGTGTGTTTCTTGTAAACAGCATATAGTTGTGGCCCCTCTCCCACCTCATTCTGACAATCTTTGTCTTTCAAATGGAGCTCTAGTAGATTTGTATTGAATTTAAGTTTGTTCTAGTTTGGCTTAGATCTGTCGTAAATTTTAAATTTGTTTTCTATTTATCTCATCTGTTCTTTATCACTTTATGCGTACTTCAAGCATTAATCAAGTATCTTAAAAATGATTCCATTTTTTCCTTCTCTGTTAGCTTTCTAGTTACCCTTTTTCATAGTCTCGTAGTAGTGGCTATCTGATTGTTGTTTTCACCCTTGACTCAGTAGAGTCCGTTGTCGCCTCTCCCAGGGTGATGGAGACACAAAGGATTACTCAAAGCCCATTTCTCCAGAGCAGTGAGAGGCCCAGAAGGGGTTAACCCCAGGAGCAATTCCTTTAGGAGAGAAGGATTCCTAGGAGTAACGTGGATTAGGTTTTCTCTCAGTTTTTATTGTCCAGGCAAGAAAATTACAGAAAAAGAACACAGGTGGTTACAGAAAGAACAATGAGATAATCATCATGGCAATACTTAGTTCCCCAAGAAACTTAAAGAAACACCCAGAGGCGAGATGTGGAACATCCCCCCAACCATCAACCTTGAAGCCTTTAGTTCACACACTTTCTCATCATTAGGTTTAGCTGCACCAAGGACGACTGCCCTTAGAGCAAGCATTTTTTCTGTGTTACATTTTTTTTTTTTTATCTACAGCACAGACTTCAGTCCTGGGAAATTTTTCTGTTTTTCCCAAGCTTAGCATTACTATGTGCAATACTAAAAAGTTAGGCTATTCCTTAAACTACAAGGATTTGGCCCTGCTAAAACTAAGGACTGTGGTCCTACTAAGCTATGTTAGGCCCTGTGGAATGCATGTGCTTTATTAATGTTAGTATCCTCCACAGTCCATGATAAATTAGCACTGTAGTTCTTTTATCACTTTCTGTGGGTCAGGAATTGGGAGCAGCTGGGTGCTGGTGTCTCAGGGCTCCTGTGAAGATGCTGTCTTCAGCTGGCTTGGCTTGGCCAGGCTCACTCTGCCAGTCGGCAGATTCTTGTTGGATGTTTGGGGCTGTTGCATGTCTGTGTGACATGGTGCTGGTTTTCCCAGAGCAAGTGTCCATGAGAGGGCGGGATGGGCACTGCAGGGTCTTTCACAGACAAGCCTCAGAAGTCACGCAGGCCAGCCCTAGTTGGTGTGGGAGGTGCCAGGGTGGACACGAGGAGGTGTTGAGTCAAATCCATGAATAGGGGATGCCTCTCATTGGGTCAGGGATTCTTTCATGGTCCTCAGGAACCTATTAGAGCTTTCTTCATGGAGATGTACATTTTTGAAAGTTTAATTGGAAGTATTTAATTTTCTATCTAACTGAGATCTTTTCTTCCATTATATCTTCTGACTAATTTATATATGTGGAGGCTGTTGATTTCTAGGTATTAAGTTTGTTTTAAGAAACCTTACTGAATTATCTTATTATTGTAATGTTTTTCAGTTATTTCTCCTATGTGTTTTCCTTCTTACATAACCAGTATATAATGTATATATACATTTCCCAGCATTTTGTTATGAAAACATTCAGACATTGAGAAAAGTTGGAAGAACCTTATTATGAACACCATAAACCCACCACCTAGATTCTACAGTTAAGATTTAGTTTTACTTGACTTAATCACATATCTATCCATTAATACAATATGATGAATATTTTAAATCATGAGCAAATGAATTCAGAGGGATTTTTGCTGGTCTTAAATAGTGCCTTTAGTATTGTTCTGTAAGGGTACTTGTACTTGTATGTGACATTTGTTATTTTTTTCTCTATAACCTTTATTGACATATACACATGCAGAAAAACTTACATATCACAGGTAAACAGCTCAGTTAAAGTGTTTTCTCCCCCATTATATGTAACATTGTGTGGAACTTCTCTGAACATGAATGTGGGTCCAGTTTCTGATCATTCCTCTAGATAGACTCATTAAAGGGGGGAGTAAGGAGGTGAGGGCATTAAATTTTAAAGCTCTTCAGCTTTCCATATCGGTTTATGGAAAAGTTAAGCCAGTTTATACCATCACCAGCAGTGTTTGAAAGTATCTGATACATTATATTTTTCCAGTATTATGATTTTTGAGATGGTTGCTAATTTGATAGGGGACAAATTGTACACTATATCATTACTAGAGACACTCAATTAAATATTTTATTAGCCCTTTAGACTAATTTTTTGTGTGAAATAGCTTGATATCTTTTTGCCTGTTTTGATTGGGGCTTTACTGTGGCTTTTTTTTTTTTTAAGGCAATTAGGGTGAGTGCTTTAAACAAAAAGCTTAAAAATTTTTTATCATGCTTTCTGAACTTTTTTTCTGTCTCATTTTTGTTTGACTTTTTAAAAACATTTTGTGTTTTTATGTATCATGTATCAGTTATTGTTGATCGGTTATTTTCTATAAATGGTATTCATTTTTAACTTAGTCTGTAGGTGTTACTATACATTTATTAGATGATTTCAGAAATATTTTTGTTTTTTTATGAATAAAACTTGAGTTTCTTCATTTCATTTCAAAGATTCTCATCTTACTTTATGTAAAGAATATTTTAGATCTTATATCAGTAATGGGCAGCTATCTTAGTTTTTAGAAAATAAATGTGCTTTTAATAAACATATACTTTTTCCAAGGAATTATCTAAAGCCAGGAGAAGCAGTGTATGTGAAAAGGAGCCCCTTTGTCTTCTTTGCTCTGCTTCTCCTGGCTGCTCTCTTTCCCTATTAGATGATACTTGTTGTTGTAGAATAACGGCCTTTCTTCCTGATATCTTTTCCAGCTGAACTGCCCTTAATTGACTTGATGAAGTTGTATGAAGGTGCCTTTCTGCCAGGTTTCCAGTGGCCCCAACCTAACCCTGATAGTGAAGAGACAAGTGAAGAAGAAGGTATGTTTCAGCATTTTTAAATTCAGGTTTAAAAAAACAGAAATCTGGGCCAGCCGTCAAGAAAAAATAAAAAGCCAAAATACTAACAGATGAAGGCATAAAACAAGATTTAAAAAATTACTTTTAGTTTGATGAAATAAAAAATTGGAAATCTATTTAATATGTAATGTCACACTGAACAGAGTTTTACTAAGTTCTATGCTTTTTATTTATTGACTTGGTACAGTTATCAGAGCACTCGATCAAGATGCGAAGGATGTGGAAATATTTTTCTCTAGATTTATAAAAGTTATCATTTTATGGACCTAGACTTTTATTATATTTACTCAGACTGTGCTACGTTTATTTAACACACTAGTTTTAAGTAGTTTATTTTATTTTATTTTTTTTTCCTTTTTTTTGTCTTTTTTCGTGTCCGGCAACGGATCGCAACCCTCAGTGTCGCACCCGTACTGGACCGGGACCGGCAACGGGATTGCAACCCTCAGTGCTGCACCCGCACCTCGCTCAGCCAGTGAGCGGGAACCGGTCTGTATGTGGGATCCGAACCCTCGGCGGGAGCGCCGCCGCGCTCCCAAGCGGCGCACTGTAGCAGTGCACCACCGGGCCAGCCCAAGTTTATTTTTTATCAGACATTTCACACAGATGCACAGAACACACCAGAAACGTTTGCCTTTCCTCTGCTCATTCCACTTGCTCTGATTATTAGATGAGTGTGCATGTGAGGGGGTGCCGGCCCAGGGCAGAGGTGGGCTATGGAGGGTCTCACGTTAGCAGCAGGACCAAGAGCTGGGAGTAGCTAGCTGCCACCTTGCTTCTCATATTTGGGAGACAGTTCTAATTTTTCCTTTCTTGGTGGTGGTAGAGGATCACTAATCCCTGATATACCTATAAATCTATTAGCTTCTAATCACCAGAGACATTTTCCAAATACCAGGCTACTTTGGGCAGTTTATACTCTGAGTCTTTCCAGAATGGTCCTAAGTTTGATAGTTTCATAAGAGTTCTTGCCCATTTATTGAGATAGCATTGTTAGATATATAAAATGGATTACAAATTAAAGAAAATTCACTCCCTAATTCTGTATTTGAAGTATTTGGATTCTATAAACTTTTTTCTTTTTCTTTTCTTTTTTTTTTTTTTTTAAACATTTAGGCTTATAAAACTATCACAGCAGCCACAAATTCCATTTGTCTCATTGTTGTTATAGATGCAGAAGACAGTCCAAGTGACAGGGAGAGTCGGAAGGACTTGGTTCTCATAGACTCGCTATTTATTATGGATCAGTTTAAAGCTGCTGAGAGAATGAATATTGGGAAACCGAACACTAAGGACATCGCAGAGGTGACTGCCGTGGCTGAAGCCATTCTACCCAAGGGCAGTGCTCGGGTCACGACCACGGTGAGGTGCTGGGCTTCCCTGGGAGGGGTGGGTCTTTGTGAGGAAGCACACGTATCTTAGTGAGTCATGAGAAAAGCTTCTCCTGCTTCCAAATAAGCTCTTTATCCCAACTGCAGAAGTTGTCAGAAAAAGCAATTCTTGATCTCCCTTTTCTTGTTTTCTATAGGTCATTTTTGTGGCTTTCCAATAAGTGTATCATGTGACGGTTTAGATTTCAGTTTTGAGAAAGGGTTTTGGTAATTACTTGACAGGCAGTCACTCTTTCGCTGGCCTTGTAACTACAGGTGAAGTTTAATGCTCCGTCTCTATTGTATGGGGCTCTGAGAGAGTATCAGAAGATTGGCCTGGACTGGCTGGCCAAACTCTACCGGAAGAATCTCAATGGCATATTGGCAGATGAAGCTGGGCTCGGTAAAACAGTGCAGATCATTGCCTTTTTTGCCCACCTGGCTTGTAATGAAGGTAAGAGTATGTTGTGTTTTATTTTGAACAATACGTATTTGCTAAGACTTACCAGTATGCCAGTGTATCTGATATAAGGGTGGGGACTTGGCCTTCTTACCCAGTTTTTTGCTCCTGTCCTTTATCCTGAGCAGAGTACTTATGTTCAGAAATACTCATTGCATTAACAAATAAGAAACTCATTCACAGTAACATTAGATCGAGTAGCTCACTGTCATTTGAACTCTAATGTGATACAGAAACCCAGCAGGCCATGACCAAGCTTTGTGACTTCAGGTGTGGCACTGTATTGCAGGTAGTAGAGCGGTGGTGTGGCTTCTTGTGCTGTCTCTGGATTGGTGAGAACCAATGCTATTGGGCTCTCACCCATGTGCTGTGGTTCCTGTCCCAGCTCACTGTGCCTTCGTCATGTTATAATGTACATGTTCCTCTCTTGTCTCTCCTGCTGGATTTCTCCTTTCTGGGGTATCGTTTCTGATCTGCTGCTCAGGTTCCTTAGGGCACAGGCCTGGGTGCCCTGGGTGGGCTTGGCACAGGCCTGGGTTCCCTGAGTGGGCTTGGCAACTGAACAGTGTGAGCCCTCTCCAGCCCTTACTGGTTTCTCTTCCAGCTGGCCCACAACTTGTACAGGCCCTCTGGCCTCCTGTCAGATCTTAGGGTCAGCCACCTTTCACTCCCCTCCTCTCTCAGCCTTCGAGTCAGGTGCCTACCCTGTCCCCTGCTCTGTGCCTGGAGGGGCCGGGTGCTGTACGAGCTGGATGCAGAAGGGGGTGGTTTGTGTCTCTGTCATAGCACAGGGTCTCTTACTGTTTTTCCTCCTGCAAAAAATGTGTCCCATAGATGTCACGGAATGAATGTTCTGCCTTATGTGTCAGCTGCCAACTGAAAGTAGGCTCCTGCTGTAGCTGTGGGGGAAAGTGGGCATGGCATCATCCTCTCCACTTCTGAGTCTTACAAGCAAGGGTGGGAGTATTTTGATGAGGGGAAGCCATGTAGAGTAGCAGCTCTGGGTGTCCTATCTGGCTGTTGGACAGGACTGTGGGATTCAGGGGACTACAGAGGTTGAAGCATAGTGAGGGGATGAATACTCACCTGGATCATTATTCCTTCCATTTGGGAGTTGCTTCTTCTAAACATTTTCCTCAAATTTTTACACAGTTTAGCACACCATCATTGTTAAATAATTCTTCCTTGGCCTTTGCTTTGAAAAGCTTATTCAATCTCATAATCAGTTTTTATATACAAGTGGATCAACTTCTGGGCTCCTTTTCTTCCACTAATTTGTTTCTGTTTTTTTTTTTTTTTTTCCTTTTTGTCTTTTTTCCGTGTCTGGCAACGGACCGCAACCCTCAGTGTCGCGCCCATATTGGACCGGGAC